CCCCCTCCTGCCAGCTGGTGTACTCCATATACCGCACTTCACAACCTCGCGGTATGTAATGAGCATAATGCTAACAAATAAGTAAGAAGTGCTTCTCATTGGTCAGTGAGGTCATGTGACCAATGAGTGCTAGCATTATGCTTATTATATACTTCAGGGCTGTGACCGTACGCCGGCTGGCGGGGGATCACACAGGTATGTGCAGAGGCGGAGTCAGGAATGGTGGCGTGCTTCTGTCAGTAAGGAAATGAAGCAATGATACAATGTTTCATTTCTGGAGCTTGCACCTCTGAGCACATTTTTAGGGGTCAGGCAGGTTTGAGGAAAGTCTCTCCGCTTTGTTTGCGGTCCCCATATCTTGGGCGGCTCTAGTCCTCTTATCTGTATTATGTATGTTATTGGCGTGTTAAGAGTTTGCTCAGCATCCGTCAGCAGCCAGATCAAGCAGTCACAGCCTCCGAAATGCGTTGGACCTAAATGTAATTTCTCATTGGTATCGCTGGACGTGCTGACCAGTGAGCGCTCTCCGTTGGCAGCATTATGAGGCCACACATTGAAATGTATACGCTGTATACCCGCACATGCGCAAAGCCGTGCGCCCGTGATGACTAGAAGGACAGAATTCCTCCAATTCTGGACCTCTGCGCTCATTGTAGTTCTGACCCTTTGAATTCCTCTGGATGCGGGCGGCGGTTACAGGTCCAGAAATGGCGCCAGTGAAGTTTCTTTATTCACAGAACATTTCTTCTCTCTCATAATTGTTCTGAAATATTCTATGCGGCGTTGAGATTTACGGCTTTTTTATGGGCGGCGATTATGCGCGCCGTGAAATTAAAGGCATTAGACGCGGCAGACCTTGGTGCGGCGCAGCCCCGCGCCTTTTGTCATCGGCCCGGCGCCGCAGCGGCCTAACGAATCCGGTAATAACAACAATAATATTGGCCCTATAAAGCACCTAATGTCTCGCGGCGGGGGTCTCGGCTCACGGAGGGAGCAGACGCCGGAGCCTCGCGCACACCGCGCAGAGGTGAGCCTGACCTTGCCTGCCGAGGTTTATGGTGACAGGACTCCGGATTTGTGATCTCGCCGACAAATACATCACGAGCCTGCGCTAGAGGAGGCCGACGCGACCCGCGGAGAGTACATAACGGGGGAGGGGGATTGAGGGAATGATGGAGAGAGATATAAAAAGGTTGTCACAGATTAAAGGGGACCTGTCATAGATCACACTTCCTGCGCTGGCAGGTTTATTAGAGGCGCCGGGGTGCACGGCCGCCATCTTTATCCTGGTGCAGGGGCCGGCAACCTCAGCGCTTTAGCTGTAGTCAAACTACAAATCCCAGCATGCTTCTGGGGGTCATGCCTGTGGCGGTCAGTCTTGCAGTGCCTCGTGGGACTTGTAGTTCCCCCGCAGCTGGAGGGCCGAGGTTGCCCAACCCCCTTCTCCAATGAGTCACTGACCTGCAGCAAGCATACGGGGCAAAACAACCATTTAGATGATTTGTAGTTTGCTCTCTGTGTGTCACAAACAATTGTTGTTTATTAATAAAATCCTCCTTTTCACATTATTCATCATTTGCTCCATCTCAGTGCTGCTGATCTGCTGCGGCCTCTTTGCAGCCACATGTCTACATGCACTCCTGTGATGGCATTTCTCAGGGCGGGTTTCCTGATGGTGACCACAGTGGGCCGTGTCTGTGTAATGTGTGATGAAACGGCCACTTGCAGTCTCCATCAGAAGCCCATGTGACAGTGACAACACAGTTTCATAGCTGGGGGACAGGGACAGAGTGTTGTCACCCTATAACAGGAAGTGCCAATCATGACACCAAATCTAAAAGGAAAAGGAATGTAAAAATTGACACATTGAAACTTATGTTTAGAGATTGAGTTGACATCGGCTTTATATTCTCTCATTCTTATCTGTTCCTCTTTCAGCGCAAAACTGTTCGGGGTTCCGCACCTGCGCACAGTGCCTGGAGCACCCCGGCTGCGGGTGGTGTAACGATCCCTCCAATACCGGGAAGGGCCAATGCATCGAAGGCTCGTCCAGGGGTCCCATGAAGCCGCAGGGGAGGCACTCCAGTGAGATGGTCCTGGATACCGGCCTGTGTCCCCGGGACAAGAACTACGAGTGGTCGTTTATACACTGCCCAGGTAAGAGCGACGCCCCCCGAGGGTCAGCCAATCCAACCGCAGAGGAGCTTACACTCTAATGTCCCCTCCCCCCACAGTCACATCAGTCTCTGTACAGAGGAGCTTACACTCTAATGTCCCCTCCCCCACAGTCCCTCACTATTATTATACATGTATATAGCTCTGACATATAGCGTGGTGTTGTAAAGAGAACACTCAGTCCTGACTCTGAACCCCGTGGTCTGGTCTCTGTGCCGGTGAGGGGTGTTTGGTTGGGTCGCCGGGCGCGGCGGATGTTGGGGATCGTAGCCTCGCGGACAATGTCTGAGGGGTTTTCGGGGTCAGAACATTCCGGGCGTCCTGCGGATTTCACATTCTCAGATTGCGGATCTCTGTGTCTGAATTGTGCGTTTTATTTCAGTCAGACGCATGATTTGCGGTGCGTCGGCACAGGCGGCACATCGCCGTGTGACAGGGAAAGGTCATTGAAACACTTTAATAAAATGTCACAACGATTACAATGTGGACGCGGCCGAGGTTCCGTCTCTTTGTCTGCGCGCAGTTGTTGTGTTGTACTGAGCGCCATTAAAGCGGAACTCCGAGCAAACCGCACAATACATACCACGGATTTGTATCTCTGTCAATCCAGCCTTGAGATTTATACAGCTCTGTCGCACAGCTCAGCCCTCTCTGGCAGGGGAGGAGACCTGAATTTGTCTGCTGCAGTTCACTCACTCTTACAGGTCTTGCCCCTTCCCCAGACTGTGATTGGACAGTGAAAGGTGAATGATGAGCTCAGCCCTCTGTCACTCTGCTCTCTCCTCCTATCATCATGTCCCTTGTTAGCGCAAGAACACTGCGGCACAGCTGATTGGCTTCTTGTGATTCTTCTCTCCTCTCCCAGTCTGAGCTCTGCTATAGATAGGGACTGCAATGCTTATAATAGGTCAACTTCAGGTAGTTTTACTGCTTGTGTTTCTGAAGGGAATACAGTATATATCTATTCACTGATCTATTGATGAGCAAACGTTACTTTGTTTCTTTTCTGTCTCCCCGGAGATCAGCGCAAACCAGGACTATAGGCACATAAAAGCACAACGCTCACTTCCAATCCCTTCACCTCATAAAACTCTTCCTTCTTCCTTCTTTCTTCTTCCTCCTTTCTTCTTCCTCCTTTCTTCTTCCTCTTTCCTTCTTCCTCCTTTCTTCTTCCTTCTTTCTTCTTCCTTCTTCCTCCTTTCTTCTTCCTTCTTCCTTCTTCCTCCTTTCTTCTTCCTTCTTCCTTCTTCCTCCTTTCTTCTTCCTTCTTCCTTCTTCCTCCTTTCTTCTTCCTTCTTCCTTCTTCCTCCTTTCTTCTTCCTTCTTCCTTCTTCCTCCTTTCTTCTTCCTTCTTCCTTCTTCCTCCTTTCTTCTTCCTTCTTCCTTCTTCCTCCTTTCTTCTTCCTTCTTCCTTCTTCCTCCTTTCTTCTTCCTTCTTCCTTCTTCCTCCTTTCTTCTTCCTTCTTCCTTCTTCCTCCTTTCTTCTTCCTTCTTCCTTCTTCCTCCTTTCTTCTTCCTTCTTCCTTCTTCCTCCTTTCTTCTTCCTTCTTCCTTCTTCCTCCTTTCTTCTTCCTTCTTCCTTCTTCCTCCTTTCTTCTTCCTTCTTCCTTCTTCCTCCTTTCTTCTTCCTTCTTCCTTCTTCCTCCTTTCTTCTTCCTTCTTCCTTCTTCCTCCTTTCTTCTTCCTTCTTCCTTCTTCCTCCTTTCTTCTTCCTTCTTCCTTCTTCCTCCTTTCTTCTTCCTTCTTCCTTCTTCCTCCTTTCTTCTTCCTTCTTCCTTCTTCCTCCTTTCTTCTTCCTTCTTCCTTCTTCCTCCTTTCTTCTTCCTTCTTCCTTCTTCCTCCTTTCTTCTTCCTTCTTCCTTCTTCCTCCTTTCTTCTTCCTTCTTCCTTCTTCCTCCTTTCTTCTTCCTTCTTCCTTCTTCCTCCTTTCTTCTTCCTTCTTCCTTCTTCCTCCTTTCTTCTTCCTTCTTCCTTCTTCCTCCTTTCTTCTTCCTTCTTCCTTCTTCCTCCTTTCTTCTTCCTTCTTCCTTCTTCCTCCTTTCTTCTTCCTTCTTCCTTCTTCCTCCTTTCTTCTTCCTTCTTCCTTCTTCCTCCTTTCTTCTTCCTTCTTCCTTCTTCCTCCTTTCTTCTTCCTTCTTCCTTCTTCCTCCTTTCTTCTTCCTTCTTCCTTCTTCCTCCTTTCTTCTTCCTTCTTCCTTCTTCCTCCTTTCTTCTTCCTTCTTCCTTCTTCCTCCTTTCTTCTTCCTTCTTCCTTCTTCCTCCTTTCTTCTTCCTTCTTCCTTCTTCCTCCTTTCTTCTTCCTTCTTTCTTCTTCCTTCTTCCTCCTTTCTTCTTCCTTCTTTCTCTTCCTTCTTCCTCCTTTCTTCTTCCTCCTTTCTTCTTCCTCCTTCCTTCTTCCTCCTTTCTTCTTCCTTCTTCCTTCTTCCTCCTTTCTTCTTCCTTCTTTCTTCTTCCTTCTTCCTCCTTTCTTCTTCCTTCTTCCTCCTTTCTTCTTCCTTCTTCCTCCTTTCTTCTTCCTTCTTCCTTCTTCCTCTTCCTTCTTCCTCCTTTCTTCTTCCTCCTTCCTTCTTCCTCCTTTCTTATTCCTTCTTCCTTCTTCCTCCTTCCTTCTTCCTCCTTTCTTCTTCCTTCTTCCTCCTTTCTTCCTCATTTCTTCTTCCCTCTTCATTCTTCCTTCTTTCTTCTTCCTCATTTCTTCTTCCTTCTTTCCTCTTCCCTCTTCCTCCTTCCTCCTTCCTTCTTCCTTCTTCCTCCTTCCTCCTTCCTTCTTTCTTCTTCCTTCTTTCCTCTTCCCTCTTCCTCCTTCCTTCTTCTTCCCTCTTCAATTCTTCCTTCTTCATTCAATTATTTCCTCTTCATTCTTCCTCCTTCCTTCTTTCTTCCTTCATTCTTCCTTCTTCATTCTTCCTTCTTTCTTCTTCCTTCTTTCTTCTTCCTGCTTTCCTCTTTCCTTTTTCTTCTTCCTTTTCATTCTTCTGTCTTTCTTCTTCCTCTTCCTTTCTTTCTTTCTTTCTTTCTTTCTTTCTTTCTTTCTTTCCTTTCTCCTACTAATAGTATACATAGTATATTTCTAATTTATGTACTCCAGCTGATTGTGTGTAAATAAATAAGAGGACCTGTCTATATTTTATAATATTATTAGTATTAATAATAATAATATATTTGCTGTATTCAGGCAGACGGTCTGTGGATAGATAAGAGGACCTGTCTGTATCTCTGGATTCCCCTGTCAGTAGAATAATGTCCGCACTGCTCCGCCCCCTTTTCCCTCATGAATAATACAATGGTGGTGTTGCTGTATTTGGATGAATTGTCGCGGCGCGCTATTATTTGATATGTAAACGGCAAATTAAGCGTCAGAGCGCGGCCTGCTCCCTGATCGGTTTACCATTTTGTCGCCGCCGGTACATCATTCCATTTCAGCTGACAATGTAAAATTCTTATCGCTGGTCCGGCACAAATATTCCCTCCGCTTATCAGACCCGATCGCAGGAAGGAAGGAACTTCTACACGGCAATATTATCGGTTGATTTTAATACATTCCGATGTGCCGGAATCCTCCGGGTGTGTTTCGCGGCAAATTAAGCCAAATTGTTGCAGATTCGGGGCAGTGTGCGAGCGTCTCAACAAATAAAGTTTAATTAGATGCTACCGCCAGTAAACTATAGAGAATGTTCCGGAGCCGCTGTGAGGAGAACATGAATTTACTACTCGCCACCCGAATCTGATAGTTCCATGTAGGATGTATGTATTTTAGCAGTCAAAGTCGTTACATTAAGGTTGTTGCTGTGACCTCTGACCTCTCTGTCTTCTCTCCTCCAGCCTGCCAGTGTAACGGGCACAGCACATGCATCAACAACAACGTGTGTGAGCAATGCAAGAACCTGACAACGGGCAAACACTGCGAGACCTGCATGCCCGGCTACCACGGCAACCCCACCAATGGCGGCGAGTGTGAAGGTCAGTGATATGGGTTATCCTATGGTCTTCCTTGTCTGATTTCCATGTGTGATGAGTGGTTGGTCGGTGGTGCGGATTGGGCACAGGCTGGTGATGAGTTCTGTGTTGTCTCTGGGGTTGGCACCGTCTTAAAGAATGATTGGGGAGCGTTGGGTCAGTGGCATCAGTTTGACACACTTTTGATACCATAGAGCAGGGGTGTTTAATGGTGGGCCGCATCAACATTATGGTTGCCCTCAAAGGGCCTGTAGGCCTAATATAAATGTATCTAATCTTCATCACAATTGCCTCTGCGTTCCATTATCGCTGGTTATAGTAATAACTTAAAGTGACATTAAACCCTCAGATTTTTTAACATAAAACAATACTGTAATGTGCGCCTTACTGTAATCCATGGTGGTTTCCCTTCTCTTTGCTGCTCTTCCTTTTAAATCCTCATCTCTTCTCATGCTTGGGGCCTCTTCCTGTAGCGCTGGCTCAGGTTACAAGCCTATAGAAACGTACACACAGACACCGTGTATCCATTCCTGAGACAAGGCAGTCTGCTGCAAAACAGAAGTTCTCCCCCAGCATGAGAAGACACGAGGATTTAAAAGGAAGAGCAGCAAAGAGAAGGGAAACTACCATGGCCATTACAGTATTGGTTTATGTTACAAATTCTGGGGGTTTAATGTCACTTTAATACCTAGGATCTGAAAGTAGAAGTCTAGGAAATGGCCTGGTGGGCCGGATTTGGCTTCTTGGCCTTGAGTTTGACACATGTGCCATAGAGAATCCATAGACAGGTGTATCTGACCTGCAGGCATGGAAATGGAAAACCTTTCTGACAAGACCAACATCCCTCCAATGCCGGATCCTCACTTCTTTCTGACTTGATTTGTTATTTATTTACTATATTTATTTATTAAAGTGACACTAAACTCCGGAGATAAACCTTATAAATCCCTCCCAGTCCCCGAACTCCGAGCAACAATGTATCTTATTTGTGTATCACTCGGCTGGAGATCCTCCAATCATCTCTGACACCGTCCTTCCTTCTGGAGGAGGGGCTACGTCTGTTCCCCATGGTCCCTGTGTGTGTTATAAAGTAGTCACCGCTCCAAGCTCCGCCCCCCGGGATGGGCTACAATCTCAGGTTTAATTTAATGATTTGTATTGAGATTGTAGTCCATCCCGGGGGGAGGAGCTTGGAGCGGTGACTACTCTACAACACACACAGGGACCATGAGGAACAGACGTAGCCCCTCCTCCAGAAGGAAGGACAGTGTCAGAGATGATTGGAGGATCTACAGCCGAGTGATACACAAATAAGAAACATTGTTGCTCAGAGTTCGGGGACTCGGAGGGATTTTGAAGATCTAACTCCGGAGTTTAGTGTCACTTGAAACGTTGAAGGATTTATAAGTGAAATGTTTGTGTTGTTCAGAAAACATAATAACAATATTTTTCTTCAGTTGTTTCCATATAAATACAATAGATGTAAGAAGTGTTCACACAAATGCAAATTTGAATACACAACCAATGAATCATTTAAAGTTTACTGTCACTTTAAATACGCCCCCGTGATCCTGCCAGCACGCAGCCCTTTCTTCTGCAGAGTGACAATGCTATGTCTTATATAGTAATATGTCTGCAGCGTTGTCACCCTTTGCGGCTGTATTCTGGTGTGTGCTGAGGAGAAGGGATATCCGGAATTGTCACTTTGTGACACGTATCAGCCGGAAGACGGGGAGGGATCAGAGATGGCGCTCTGTAACACCTCCACAAAGCGCCTGGCGTCCTCTTGGCTCCCGCCTCCTATGGAGGGAAGTCTCCGGCAGTCTCACCCTTTTCATATCTGTAATTTACCTTTAAGAAATATTCGCCAACTCAGTTGATACATTACGGCAGCTTTATATTCTGTTAGAACGTTTAATATTAAAACGAAACAATGACATTCTGTTACATTGTAAGCACTCTTCCGCAATCAGCGTCATGTTGTTGGGGGATGTGATGCGGCGCGCCCTCCACATCCCGCTGACCTGAGCGCGGACAACGCATGTGGTGCCTTCTGAGACGGCGGGCCGCTTACTGACGCATGAGGTTCATAGATTGCAACCAGCAGATTGCGATCACATTGTGGATTGTAGGGCGACTACAAGACGGGGCAGGCAAGAAGATAATGATGAACGCCATTTGTATTCCTCTTCTTGCTGCATGTGAGCGTTACATAGAACCCCAACTGACAATAAATCACATCATTTCATAATTTTTGCCTTGTATATCTTACAGTCACGTGATGTAG